TTATTTTTTAGGGATACACATCGTCGACAATTTCATTAGTTCAAAACTCTCTCTGAATCTTTGGAGGAAAAAAGAATGGAGCACAATTTAGAAATAATTATCTACAAACAAGAAGTAGATATAACTTAAGTATAAAAGTTAAATATCATTAAAACACATACCAGCACCCTTTGACAGAAGATGTCTATAGACTAAAAGTGAGAAGTAGATAAACTATTCATGACACACTGAATATTGAATGTACTGTTCAAAATAAAAATCTGAATATTTATAAATCAAAACAGAACATGTTTTTTTTAAAAAACAGTAATGTCTTTATCATTACAAAATGCTTCAAATCATCTTCTCACATTTACATTCTATTCTTTTCAGACATAACACCAAGTTATTTGCACATCAAAATAACAAACTGAATTAAAATTACATTAACATTCAGAAATGTCCTGATCACAAAATTTAACTTTAATGCTGACATGCTAATTTAGAAGCTAGACTTCCCTGGGTAACAATTAATGAGCCATTGCATCAATACTGTCATCCAGCCTTATAATTCTCCGTCAGAAACCAATGTTGTACAGTTTTCAGATTTCTTAATGAATTTGCTTTAATATAAAATATTCAATGAATAACTAATGTGGTTTTTTTGGTGTGCTATTTCTGATAAAGTTAAATACCTGTGGATTGAGGAAATGGACAAATATTAAATCAGATGAGATTGCCGAAAAGATGGGCTACTTTTTCTCATGTTAGCAAAATGTCACATTACGACACAGTAATGCTCAAAAAAAAACAAATATAAGATTTTAAAAAGCTAGGAGGTAAAACAGTCACAACCAAGAACTGTGCAGAGGCAAAACAGAACTCCATGTATTGGCCACTAAACCAACTTGTTCTCATGAAGTCCTCCTGATCTATTGAATCACTTCAGAAATGAAGTATGCTCTCCTATGGACGTTATAAAACAAATCAAAGACAATTACAATTCAATACTAAAAAAAAAAAACCTATTTGCTCTACAATTTCTCATTTTATAGTTTTATCATTTAAATTAGACCAGAATTTTCTCTGATAAATCAGGCAAATCTCCTGACATAATTATAGATTTTTGCGGTATATAGAGAAAAATACTTGATGTCAGTAAATTTTGGAAAACTGTAGTTAACTACACCTCCCCAAAGTGAATACAACAAACATCTGTTGCAAGAATTGCTTGGCTTTCAGACAGTATGTAAAAGGTATTCTTTTTCCCAGTGTTTTGCTTTTTTATTTTTTTTCCTTAATGCTTATTCAATTTAAAAAATGTGTATATACATGTTTCCACTATCAATTCTCAAAATGTAAAATCTTAAAATTCTTTTAAAATCGGGCCATTACGAGGTATAGCACAGAAAGGGAAACTATGCAAAGTACAAGACTCTGCTTGCATTCTGAAAGGACCACAAAATAATTGGGCATATTGCCTTCTATCTGTGGGCGACATTGCAATTTTAACCATTGTCTCCCTTTCTACACTCAGTGCTCTATACAAACATAGCAGACTTCACAGAAGAGGAGGGGAATAAATATACAACTTCTGGATCATTTTCATCCTCTTTTGGAATCCCAGTGATAACTCTGCTTTCTCCTCTGGATTTTACTGGCTTCAACAATATCCTGATAACCTCATTAAATAACAAGTGAATTCCTAAAGTTTGACTCCAGTGACAAGATAAATCACTGCACAATTTTTGCATAATGCCTAAAGCAGACAATGTAACCATTTCATTAAGGGAGGGGAGGAATCAGTAGCCTTTATGACTCATATTTTTCTTAACTGCATCAAAAATTTTGGTAAACTAAATGTATTTTCCTTGATTCCAAAAGAACAGAATTTTGCCGAAACTTCACAGGTATTTTGCAGAGTAAAACACAATCTTTTTAACATTTCGAATTTCCACATAAAACACACAAATTAGCAGGTGCAAATGAATACAAATGTTTATAAGTAATAGGATACAGGGGTATTTTTGATCAGGAAAGAAAGGATAATAAAAAGAATAACATTTCTAAACATATTTCAAGTGACATGTGACTTTGCTCATTGTTCAATCTCTACCTCCTCTTCTACCCCTGACTGCTCTCAACCATTTTAAGGTTATTGTTTATCCACAAACTCTAAGATTCAGTTTCACATTTCCATTTTTATGCTAACAACACGGCATTGATTTAGTTCTTAAAACATTGCTAAAGTGTTTCAACAAGACATTATGAGACAGTGTACAGAGAAATCTCTTTGTCAGCAAGCAATGGGAAAAATCGGAAGATTCCCTTTCTTTTTCTGCCAAGCTTAAAGTTAAGTGTGTGTACTTCATTATGTCTCTATAAACTTCAAGGAGACCTATAAAGAAACATGCCCATATTTGCCATTAAGTCAGTCTAAAATGCACCTGCATATGTGTTTATATGATAATAAGGAAAAAATGCTTTACTTAAACAGCCCTTAAAGTGATACTTGCAAATTCTATTACAAGCAAAAATATTGAGGGAAATTTGTTTAAAATGCATATAAAAGAAAAGGAAGGCCAAAGTCACATAGATCCAGCATATCAAAGTTTAGAATCATTTGCAAACCCTCTCTGAGACTCCTAAACAGGTACAGCCTCTGCCTGAATGATAGCTTTCACCAACTTCACAGAGAGAAGGGAAAGACGTTAATAGGAGAAATGATGTGCAGCGGGGCAAGGACCTGGGAACTCTCTGAATCTCTGCATGATATTTCTGTAAACCTAAAACTGCTCTAGAAAATAATGTCTATTTTAAAAAAAAAGTTATTTTCCCTTTTCCTTTGAGAGACGGCCAGCCAACACACACATAACATATTCAGAAGCAATTAATAGTTTAAAACTTCCTTTATCCAATGTGACAGCCTTTAATTCCTACTGAGGGTTATCATGAGTCATATATTACATTTAAAGAACACACTAGTCTGAACTGTATGATTTCTAAGAAAAACAGATAAACATTTTTTCAAATAAATAATAATAAAAAGTCCTTTCATTTATTGGATATGATTTGAATAAAGTAATTTGAATATATGTAAATTGTCATATCTACTGTATATTATATACACAAATGTTAATACAGCTTATGTTTATTTTTAATATACATACATTACATGTACTACCAATGACAAGAGGAGCTCTGGTAGTGTAGTGCCTAAGGCACTTGACTGCTAACCAGAAGGCTAGCAGTTCAAACCCATCAGCCACTCCTCGGAAGGAAGATTGGGCAATCTACTTCCGTAGTGACACCTCCTCAAAAACCCAAGAAGGGGTCACTATGAGTTGGATCCAACTGGATGGCTGTGAGTTATACATATATATACATATATATAGGAGCTCTGGTGGCCTAGTGCCTAAGGTATTTGACTGCTAACCACAAGACTGGTGGTTCAAACCCGCCAGCCACTCCTTGGAAGGAAGGTTGAGCAATCTACTACTGTAGTGATACTGCCTTGGAAACCCAAGGAGGAGTTGCTATGAGTCAGGTCCGACTCGACAGCACATAACAACAACAACAACATCAATGACAACACATTTTCAGCAAAGTATTTTATATCATAAATTAAACACCCATAAATTACCTATGATTACATACTATTATATCCATTCTACAGACAGAAAACTGATGCTGTGAAATTAAAAAGTTTGCCCAAGGTCTTAAGAACAGGTCACTAAGGTACCATAATTATAATGTTTTATCTCTGTACGTTAATGCCTATCTGAATGGATTTTTATTGTTATTTTTATCTCACTTACTTAAGGCGATATATAATGTATTTACAAAATCTATAAAGGAGAAGGGCACTGAGCACCTCCTGGTGAGTGAGGCAGCTAAAGGCAGACATAAGCTCTACTGGTTAAAGAAGAGATTCTTGCCTTCTTCACTAGTTTTCTAAAAATTAAATGAAAACATATATGGTACCTCTACTTTGCAGTACTTTAAACTTCAAAGTGAATTATCCAAATTAATCCCACTCAGTTATAATAAATTCCATTATTCCCATTTTACAGGTGAGAAGCTAGGCACAGGAACAAAGCTATTTGCCCATGGGTCACACACTAAGTGTGGGGGAGGTGTGGAGTTAGAACATGTTATTTCTTGGCTCCACTTCCATTTTTAACACTAAAGAGCAATCCATTCCTATTAATCATCTTATTCCAAAGTCACTTGAGGAAACACATAATTTTCTGGATGGAGGAATACACATCCTGAAAGTCACAGGTATAAAGGAATACATCAAAAGTTCTTATTTTATCCTACTTACAAGTTAAAATTCACTATAATTCAAGTTTTAAAAACTATTCACACATCATATTACTTTGCTGCCTACAAATCAGAGCTCTGCTGAGTGAGACACTGATCATTAGCCAGGAAATAATCTCATGCCTTTATAGGAGAGACACAATTTAAGAAAAATAAAATGAACATAAAGGATGAGTTCATATCAAAATATACTTTGATGGCAGGGAAACTGTAAGCTAAGACATCAATTTTCAGCCTGGCTGATTATAAACTAGGACCCACTGCTCCTAGTTAACAGTGAGAATTTGAGAGGGACAAGAACATGGCATTTGAAGACAAGTGATGCATGGTAATATGCATGAAAAAATCCTTGAAAAGCTAGAGAATGAACTAAATAAGTCAGTCAGTTAAAAGAATATGTTAAATAACCAGGCCTTAAGTCCACAATAGTTATGAAGAATATCCAGATATGTCCTCTAAGTTTTGCTAAACTTAAATTGCTCAAACAACAATCTATATGGTGAATGAAGGGTTATGTATGAAACAAGAATTTCTATCAGACTGATATAGGCTTTCTCATTTCTAAGAAAACAGAGGTTTCTGAAAACAGCATAACCCATATATCTCTAATTACATGTATCTTGCTGATCCCAACGTGGCAGCAATAGCTCAACAAACACAGGTAGTCGGAGAGTTGACACATTAATAAGACATACCTCTTGCACTGAGCGAGCAGCTGGCTTGTCTTGATGATTGGCCAATATTAAAAAAGGTAAAGTGCATAACTGTGGATGCTGAAGAGCTGAGTGCAGTTCATTTCTAGCAGTTTCTAAATCATCTTCTGAAGAGGCACTGTCTAATACAAATATTACCCCTTGAGATCCTTGGTAGTAGCGGCTCCAGTATTTCCGAATATTATCAGCACCTGTAAAAACCAAAACAAATTCTCTTTTAAACAGAGTTTTCAGAAACCAAGCTTTTGACTCACAGTGAGCCTATGTACAACAGAACAAAATACTTCCTGGTCTTGTGCCACCCTCACAATCATTGCCACATTTGAGCCCTTCATCACAGCCACTGTGTTAATCCATCTCGTTGAGGGTCTTCACATTTTTCACTTACCCTCTAATTTACCCAGCATGATATCCTTCTCCTTCTGACAACATGATCAATGTAGCTTTTAAAAATTAAGTGTTAACCTCTGTGGTATGGAATGGAAGAGGAATTCAGAAATGCAGAGATCAGAGTGGATGACAACAGAGAAATTGTGAAAACCAACAGGGGGATATGGCCTTATAAGAGACCACAAACATTGAAGAGTCATTTCTTGATACTTTTCTGCAAAAAGGACATGGAGGTGGCATCTTCTGACCTTCTGTAAGTTCAGAAGCAGAAGAAGACAGAATCACCATCAGCAGCCCCAGGCTTATTCCTATGATGCCAGACACGCTGCCACTCTCCAGCCTTTTTACCAACTTTGACACCAACCATCCCTCCCACGGTACTCACTATGTCTCTACTGGGTTTGATAATTCATTGCAATGGCCACACAGAACTCACAAACAATACTCACAATTATGGGGTTTATTAAGGAAGTAATAGGCTACAATTTAGGTTCAGGAACATGCTTAGGATACAGTTCTTTGATCAGGACAGTCTCCCCTCTGCTGTGCCTTCAGACATGTCTTGCTGGCCTGTGGCCTCTCGGCCTGGCCTCTGCCTCTGTGGGCCAGGTAAGCCTGCCACTCTGTCTTGTGCCTCTTGGTTCCACGGCCACTGTCTCTCTGCCGGGACATCTCGCTGCAGGGCATTTCTTAGCCAAGGAGGTCCAGTGCAGGGGTCTTGGGTCCAAGGACGCACTCCACTTCACCTCCAGCTCTTCTGTCTACACAGCAGTGAGAGCCCTTCTCTGTCTCTAAACCAAACCAAAACAAAACGCACTGCCATCGAGTCAGTCCTGACTCATAGCAACCCCTCCTTGGGTTTCTGAGGAGTATCACTAAGGAAGTAGATTGTCCTGTCTTCCGAGGAGTGGCTGATGGATTTGAACAGTCAGCCTTCTGGTTAGCAATCAAATGCCTTAGGCATTATGCCACCAAGCCTCTTGTTGTTGTTGTTTGAACCTCTAGCCTTCTGGTTAGCAGTCAAGTGCCTTAGGCACTACGCTACCAGAGCTCCTCACCAAGCCTCTAGGAGGGCTCATTTTAAGCCTGGCAGAGTGACAAAACTAACCAATCCCAAAATCAGAGTTCTACATACCTTATTGCATGGTCCCACCCAGTGATCTGGTGGGAGTTACAAAGACTATGGCTAGAAAAGCCGATCCAAGTAATTCACTGCACTGCACTTTCTTACAAAAATATGTGAACAAAAACTAAATACTTCTTAGACTTAAAAAAATGTTTTCAAACTTTGCCCAATAGTCCTAAATGAACTATATAATATAAAGTGAGTCCAAACTGAATTGGACACTATGACCCAGACATTCACCAAAACTACTTTTCATAACATCAGCATTCTCTTAGATTTTCTAATAGAACTGCTTGCTGATCAGGACTGCCTTGCTTAATTTCTTCTAAAGACTTAAAACTATTAGCACAATATCTTTAAGTGTCAAAGTGTTGAAATCTGTGGAGGATAAAAACCTTGGTCTTTGGTCCATGTGTTTAAATTCCTTTGGTTTCATAATCCACAGGGAAGAATAGAAGAAAATGAGCACACTCATGCTCTCAATTAAAGATAAAGGGTGGGTCCACATTGTAATGTATTTGGTGGCACTGAACTAGCAAAATAAAAAAGCAAACTCATGGCCATTGAGTCAATTTCGACTCACCGTGACCCCTCCTTGGGTTTCTAAGGCAGTATCACTACAGAAGTAGATTACCCCATCTTCCTTCCATGGAGTGGCTGGTGGGTTTGAACCATCAGCCTTCTGGTTAGCAGTCACATGCCTTATGTTTCATTAATTGTTTTCATTATTTATAAGACAGACGTTGATATAATCATGGGGCAAGCTGTGTCTATTCCTCTTTGTATTTCTAAAATCTAAAATAATGTGTAATTCAACGTTCAATACATTTTTTTTTTTTCTAATGAGTGAGGAAATGAAATTATACAGTCATTAGGCTTTAAGGATTTTGAGAATAGGAAGAAACTTTAGAGACCATCCAATTCATTTCTCTGAGGACACTGAGGCTGAGAGAGGTGAAGTGACTGACCCTAGCCATGTGTCTAGTAAACCAGAAAATACATGCATATGTGTTGGGGAGAAGGCAAAGTACTGTTAGTTAAAACCCATTGCTGTTGAGTCGATTCTGACTCATATCAACTCTACAGGACACAGCAGAACTGCCTCATAGGGATTCCAAACCCATAATCCTTACAGAGGCAGATCACCATATCTTTTTTCCCATGGAATGACTGGTAAGTTTAAACAACCAACTTTTCAGTTAGCAGCCAAGAGCTTAACCACTATGCCACCAGGGCTCCTTGAGGATTACATAAGAAAAATTCAGTATCAAGGAATTTTAGCAATTCATAGCACATGATCAAGTCTTAATCAGTTAGTAATTACATTTTAGTCATTTATAGAACATCTGACTCCTATGTTTGAAATATTTTGTCTAAGTGTTAGGGTTATAAATAGCAGGGACTGGAGCCAGACACACTGGCAGGTAAGAGTCAATCGTGCGCCTTTCTTCTCAAATCGGTGCTCAGTGTTATCACATTGGAAGCTTGAAATTGGCCATGTGGGGTATTTTCACCATAAAAATCAGCACATGCAACAAATAAGCCCTCTTCTTCCCCTGGAGAGCCAAAGTGCCCCTGGAGAACAACGAAGTATTGCGGCAAAGTGTAAAAAGAGCTGTGATTAAGGTACTCGCTAAGTGCTCTGGGAGCAAGAGATGAGGCATCTCGTCTAGACAGGGAAAATCTCTCTAAAGAATAATATGAATAACAGGACAGCTATCATTTACGAAGCACAGGACCATCTATTAAATTCTTCCACATTCCAGGTGTAGTGCTAAGAGTTTTTACTAAGAATCACTCACGTAACTCTCACAACAACCCTCGGAGGTAGACATAATTGACTCCACCTTTGAAACTACTTTTCAGATTCCAAGTATTTAAGGTTGAGTCATCTTAAATATCCAAAGACATGGGATATGGACAGAGTTAATGCACATCAGTCAGGGTCCAGCCACGGAAAGCAAAACAAAAAGAGGAAATTTAAAGCAGAGTATTTATTATAGGATGCTAGTTGCATAGGTAGGAGCTCTGGTAGCATAGTGCCTAAGGCACTTGACTGCTAACCAGAAGGCTGGCGGTTCAAACCCACCAGTCACTCCTCAGAAGGAAGGTTGGGCAATCTAGTTCCGCAGTAATACCTCCTCAGAAACCCAAGGAGGGGTCGCTACAAGTCGGGGCCTACTCAACAGCACACAACAACAGCAGCTGCAGAGGTGATGGTGGAACTATGAAAATAACAAGAGCATGGAGATCACCAATCTTAGGTCAGGTTCCCTAGGAGCAGAGTCTGATAATTAGGTTTTGACACACAATTTACAGACAGAGTGCAACTATGAGAAACTAGGAGTGAACTCTGCAAGCTAATATGGGAAGAAGCAGGATAGGGTGAGGGAATAACCTAGGTACATATACGGATTCAGAAATCTAACCACAGTGTGATCCCATAGGAAGCATAGAGCTTGAGTTAAATCACAGAAATTATCTAATCCAGAGGCAAAGTGGCTGGGCTATGATACCCTCACATAATCATTGGCTATGAGCCACCTCTAAGGAGGAAGAGGGATTTAGGGTGTGATCTCATAATCTTCTAAACATATCTGGTTGAGGCAACTCCCATGGCAGCTCCTGTCTGCCAAGGGCAGGTCTCCGGAGAAGGGTACAGGTGTGAGTCATTAGCAGCCAACAATACAGCAGCTGGGAGATGGGTGCACTGGCCCAGTAAAGAAGATCTGGATGGGAAACCAACAGCATCTGCTATAAGCAATATTCAGACACTATCCATATGTTGGAGAACCATCCTTAAGCTGGAGGGACAAGTGGAGGCAAGGGTAACCAGTGGTAAATGTTTAAAACAATAACAAAAACACTGTGTGCATATGCATTTGTATATAAGTTTATCAAAAACTTTATTAATATAAAAGATGTCTATATCTGCATATAAAAAGTATAGATACAATACACTTTAATGTAAATCACCTTAGACTTCATCAGTAGTCCTAAATAAACTATTCTACAAATTGAGTGCAAACCTAACTCAGAGAAGTGTGTGACCTAGACATCACCAAAACTGCTTTCCATAACATTAGCATTGTCTTGGTGATTATTTCTAACAGAACTGCTTGCTCATCAGGGAAGCCTTGCATAATTTCATCTAAAGAGTTAAAACTATTAGCACAATAAGTTCAAGATTCAAAATGATGAAATTTGTGCAGGGTAAAAATGTTGCTCTTTGTTGTTTACATTCATTTGGTTCATTTCTGTGACACTGATATTCAACAACATTCTCTCAACATGATGGTGTTTATTTTTGCCAAATTCTTTATCTATAGGACTCCAATAATTAGAACTGACCAACAAGTGTAGTTTTGACATGAATATTGGCTGCTATCATGATTTTCCATGTATTAACTTTCTTTACCCATAATAGCCATATGGGACTGCCGTGGTTGTTAGGTGGCCATCGAGCAGGTTCTAACAGCAACCCTATGTACAACAGAGTGAAACACTGCCCTCCTGTGCCACCCTCACAATCACTGCCATGCTTGAACCCACTGACTTAGTCCATGTAACTGAGGACAGTCCCTTTCATTGCCTCCCTATGCTTTAGCAAGCATATTTCCTTCTCCAGGGATTGGTCCCTTCTGACAACATGATGAAAACATGAGAGATTAAATC